GGTTGGTGTAGGACCGTGAGGTCTGTTAGTGGGGACATTTTAAATCGCGAGGGGGGTGCCTGCTGGGAGAGGTGATTTCGGAAGGTACTTGGAAGAGACAGTCTGGGAAGTGATCCAGGGTCTTTTGTGGGCCGAGTGAGAGGGAAGAGAAGAGCGGGGTGGGGTCCTGAAGGAACGGACGGAGTATTTCAGAATTTAGGGGGATCGGGGAACGATTTGGAGGATGAGGGTGGTAGAAGAACGTTTAAGAGTAATCTTTGGAGGAGGGTGAACGGTTTGGAAGATCACTCGGGGGGGATGTGGAGTAAGGTAGTGTGAAGAATGGGTTCCTTGGGAGGTAGGAGAAAGGGTTAAACAGCTTGGTTAGAGGTCCCAGCGAAAGTGGGGGTGATTTAGAGGGGATTGGTGAAAGGAGGGGAAGCGGATTGAGAAGTCCCAGAAGGTGGGCGGGACTAGAAAGTGTTTTAAGGCCGGAACTGAAGGGATGGGAAGGGGACTGGAGAGAGGGTGGAGAAGATGGGGGGCAGGTGGGAAGGGAGTCCACGATAGAGGGGGACCTGGAGCAGAGCTAGAAAGGAGCTTTGGGGAAGATTGAGGTGGGGCTGCAGAGTAGCAGAAGATGGAAAAAACTGGAGTAACTCAGATCGACTGAAGCCATCTTTTCATTATCTACAAATACCAGTAATTGATTCCCTCCATCATGGAAATCCTAAAATGTGATGGGAAAGTACCACGTGTATGCATAGTATCCACACACGTTTTTGAACACACTCTTCCCTAATGAAAAGTTTGGAAGCATTCAGTTCCACTTACCCTCCATAGCCCCTTTTTGGAAGGGAGCAAGCTTCTCATTTAGAAACAGGATTTTAGCACTTGATGATATAAAGCTTTGCACAGACAAGATACCGTTTAGACCATCCCCTTCAGTCACAGAACCACAGTAACACTGCTAATAAAAATAATCTGTATTCATTTGTATATTAAACTGCCTGAATTATTCATTTGGTGGAAAGGCACACAGAAAAATAGTCATCATACTTAGAGGGGAAAAAACTTCCAGAACTTAATCCCTGAAGCAGTGTGGTGAACTCTCACTACACGTTTGAATTGTTGTCCCACTACGCAAACTTGATTTTACTATGATTTTATTCTTTATACAGTGTAATATTAAGACACTCTAGCATAAGAAAAAGCCATGTTCCTACAGATGATAGCTTGATACTGAAGGCTTACCTTGTCTTAGGCACTGTGCTGAGGATTTTACATTCATAACCTCATTTAATTCTGACAATTCTTTGAAATAAGTTCTTTTTTATGCCTGATGTATTGGTGGGGATCTGAAACTTAAGGTTAAATTACTCCTATCACACATAAGGATAAGTGGCATAATTGTAGATGACTTTTCTCCCTGTATCCCTAAACACAAAGACTAGTCCCTGGGACCAAATAAGAGCTCACTAAATGCCGTTGGCCTAGCAAAAGTTAAAGCCTTTATTCCCTTTCTTTAAAAGCTTAAAATACAATAATTAAAAGGTTCTAATGAAAACAAATTATAAGACATTTAGGTCTAGAAAAATTTATTTGTAGTTAAATTAAACCATTGAGTCAGGGCCCCTTTCAGTAAAAGCTGTACTATTTAATTGGATATATTCCATACTTTATTCTGCCACATTTTATTTTGGGGGCAGTTGTCGTTATGAAGATCATTGCTCATGCTATTCTTTGTATGACATTAGTAATCTTAACAGTTCAGAAAATTAAGTTTTATCGGAAATTGAAATGAAACAGTGTTAAATAATGTCCTCTATAGTCAATTAGATATGATAATAAACAGGCTTATTCTTTTCTAACTGCCTGCGCCCCAGATGTAGTAGCTACTTCGGTGGCAAGTTGTGAGATTTTCTGTATAGGTTACTTGCCATTTTGTAAGTGATGCTTAGAAAGGCTAGTGTTGTAAAGCAATCAGAGTTCTCCCACACTTTGCCTAAGGGCAACTGTTTCAAAAAAAGAAATAACAGGATTCAGGTGATAGGATATTTTAAGGTGCCAAAGCAGACTTTTTAAATATGACAGTACAGATGTACTATAAGGGGGGGGTTATGAAAGGACTGCAAGAGGCCATATTGTGGAGATGTTAGAGTTCACATCCCAACTGTACCACTTTGTGGCTAGTTACTTGACTTTTAGCTGCTTTTGGCCTGTTTTCCTCATCTGTAAAATGGGAGTGATACAACAATCCTACATAATAGGATTGTTTTCATTTCAGAACCGAAAGAATCCAGACTAAGTGTTCTGAAAAGTTTAGCTATGTGAGAAATGACACTTGTAAAGATAACACTCTACCTGGTCTTTTCTCTTAGAAATTGTGGTGGCACTTTGACTTTTCAGATTTTTAATAATTTTAATACTAATTAACTTCAAAATAGAGATTTAAGCCAAATGAGGAGGTGTATCCCACACGGATTGCTCTGATTCCAGTCAAACCTTTTGGGTTTTGATTTTAAATTGTTATCCTTCCCCTTCAAGAAACTGAAACAGTTTTTAAAGTGCTTTTGGTAGTTCTTTTGATTAGGGCCTCCTCATTTGTCCGAAGACCTGTGCCTTCCTGAGCTAGTGTATTACCTGTTCTTAAGTGGTCCCACAACCAGTGCTGCTTACGAAGGTCTGACTTATTAGAGGATGCCTTTTTTATTCCGTTGCCCTTCTGATCCACTCTTGGGTGTAGGCAGTGCCTGCCTGATGCCTTGATGCCTTTTCATTCTCACTGGCACTTGGTTTTCTCCTTTGGGAGGACAGAATTAGGTAGTCATAGTGAGTGTGGATAAAGTCAAATGGCCTGGGTTCTACCACGTACTAGTTGTGTGTGTGCCACATACAAGCAAGTGTATCTCTCAGTAGCTTTATGTGCAAAGTAGGAATAAGTACCTATCTCATAGAATGGTCACAGTGATTGAGATAACACCCATATAATATGCACAGCATATGATTCATTGAAAAATTCAATAAATATTAGCTGCCATTTATATTTGAATTTTAAGTCCAGTGATTTGACCAACCTCATGTTCCCAAAGTATGTGTGGTGCTCTAGAGTAGAGATTCTGCTGTGCTTTAAGTGGTTGTATACAAACAACAGGTGGTGCTGTTGTATACAAACTTGCTGGCAATATACTTTTTCCTGGAGATCCAAAATGAAGATTAACAGATCAGTAAAGAAACCTGTTTTGTTTGCTAAGCTTGAGCACAATTATAATACTTATTAACTTGCTGTACTACATTTGGTAAACACCAGACTAATAACCTTCCACTAAGCTCCATCTATTCACTGGAAAGACTTATACAGAAGCTGTAGTTTAGATCCCCCATGCCCTCAGTCCCCCATGTATCTGTCCTTCCCAGAGAGACAAGTACTGTACAAGTGAAGCCAGTTTCAGGCAAAAATCTCCCATTTTAACATATTCTTGTGGAGTACCACAAACTTGCCACCAGGTGGTGTTGTTGTATAAGTTGATTAAGTATTTTAGTATCTTAAGTCGGGGGTGGGGAACTTCTGGCTGGCACCCTAAAGTTCTACCCCGGCCAAGGCAACAACTGCAGGCGGGACTTGAAATTCAGTAAATCCAGGAGCTTTTTTCATAGCTGATTTTAAACTTGATTTTGTATGGCAGGCGAATGATGTTATAAATATCCAAATGGCCCTTGGTGGAAAAAAGGTAGATTCTAAGTGAAAGATGGTTAAAGCACTTGAGAGTCACATCAGAAATCAGCTTACCATTCACTAAAGTCATCTGAAGGACTTTCAGATCTCAAGGCTTTTAGTTAAAGGAGGTCCTTTGAATCTTGAAATACGAAATAACCGAAGGGGTAGACCCAAAGTTTATATCCTCACCAGGGGGAAAAAAAAATCTAAAAGAACTAGTTTTTTAAAATATCCTTGAGAAAGGCAAGTTATTAACATAGTGGTCAAGAGCATGGGCTATGCAGTGTATGTCTTGGGTTCAAATTCTGGTTCTTTGACTAGTAGCTATGCAACCTTGAACCCAATTGTGCTCTTAACTGTTCAGACTGTAGTTGACCCTTAGTAATCTTAAACAATCTTATATGTACATCAGTTTTTTAAAAGTTTACACCTTATAGAATTGTTAGAGGAGTGAAATAAAATGTACCTAGAGCACCAAGTGCCTGGTACACAGTAAGTGGTAAATATTAGCTATCATTATTATTGTCCTAAATCTTTTTTTTCCTCTACAGCTTATTTTCATTTACTTTTTAAAGACGGAAGGCTCATGGTACAAATTATTGTTTCCAGGTGAGTACATTTGGCTACTTCTTTATTTAGCTTGAATGCTTAGGGCTATACAGATTTGATATTTTCGTGGAAGAATCAGGGTCCTCAGGTGCATCTTGTACAGATCCTTGCATTTCAAACTCTAGTTCCGTGGGTAGCACTGCCCAGTTTCCCAAGAACTTGTGCTGGACAAAGAGTTCCATTGCGCCTTGAATGGTGGTGTAGGACACTATTCATCTTTCACCCCCTCAAAAATATTGTAACCGCCAGCCCTTTGCTTGCAGTGCTGGGGCTGGAGGCCTGGCAGAATGGGTGCTGATGGAGCTACAGGGGGAGATCGAGGCTCGCTACAGCACTGGATTAGCTGGAAACCTCCTGGGAGACCTACATTACACCACTGAGGTGAGGGGGCTTTTCTTTCCCTGCCTAATGCCTCAGGAAAGCAAGCTACACCAAGGTGGTGCTCCCAGTACCCAGAGTGAGGACTCCCCTCAGGTTTGTTAATCAAAAGCTAGCTAATCTGCTAAGCTATCTGCTTGTTGTCCCCCCACCTCTTTAGCTTTGGGGAATCTCAAAAGGTCACAGTTCTAGAAGTGAAAGTTCTACCTGGGCCAAAAAGGACACGAGGGTGGGTTGTCCACTGTGGTGTTCAGCAGTGGAAGAGCCAGACCAGGGAGTGCAGGTGCCAGTATTGCCTGCCAAGAGCATCTTTAGGAAGCACTTGCGTGCTATGATATTGCCCTGAACCTCAGGCATCTCATTCTTGTTCTGCCAAAGGGAATCCCTGTGCTGATCGTGGGGCATCATATCCTGTATGGGAAAATCATCCACCTGGAGAAACCTTTTGCTGTCCTTGTCAAACACACTTCTGGGGAGGACTGTGATGAGCGTGGCTGCGAGACTGGCACCCGGTATTTGGTGACAGCACTCATCAAAAACAAGATTCTTTTCAAAACTCGCCCCAAGCCCATTATCACCAACGTACCCAAGAAAGTATGAAAGAACCCCGGATTTTCCCTAGAGAGCGGCCAACTCCTTGGACTCGTGCTCCACTGCCACCTCGAGGACGGCTTGACAGTTCCCTGGGACCACAGGGGGGACAGGGTCCTGTTCTAAACACAGGCCACCCGCTGGGCATGATCTCAGATTCCTTCCTTATGCCAACTGGTTCTCTTGGTGGAAATCTGGCCCCATTTCCAAGGAACCCTTCTCCTTTTCCAACTTCATCAAGCTCATTGGCTTCAAATCCAGCACCTTTCCCTCCTGGTGCTCGTGACCCAAGCATGGCTTCTTTTCCAAGGGGAATGAATCCCACTGGTGCAAGTGCAGTTTCTTTCTCAAGGCCAGGTGGCCTCTTGGGCCCAGGCCCAGGGCCAGGGCCAGGGCCAGGGCCAGCTCTCAACCCTAGAGGAGGGGCTCTTCCAGGCCCAGGGCCTCTGTCTAACCCAAGGTTAGGGGGTCTCCCAGGGCCAGGTCCTATGCCCAACTCAAGGGCAGGTGGTCTCCTGGGAACAGGTCCTGACTCCAGAAGTGGTGGCCCCATGGGCCTTGGATCTGGACCTAACCTGAGAACGGGTGTCCTGTTGACTTCTGGGAATGGTCCTCCCAATACTAGGCCTGTTGGCCTGGGCCCTGGACCAAGTCCCAATCTGAGATCGGGCTTTGTAGGTACAAACCCTGCCCCAAGGTCAGGTATGTTTCCAGGCTCTAGCCTTGGGCCCAACCCAAGAGCAAGTGGCCTAGGCCCAGGCCTTGGACCCAACCCAAGGGCAGGTAGCCTGGGCCCAGGCCCTAATCTGGACACCAGAGCAGGTGGCCTCGTGGGCACAGGATCTGGTCTTAACTTAAGAATGGCTGGACCTCAAAGCCTAGATCTTGCTCCCATTCTAAGAGCAGCAGGTCTTTTAGGAGCAAATTCAGCTTCTTTCTCACAGGCTCCTGGAAACATGGGCACAGGCCCATCTTCCATGGCAAGAATACCTGGCCCCATAGGCCCAAACTCGGGTCCTGGCTCTAGGGGAATTGGCCTTCCAGGGCCAAATCCATCTCCCATGTCTAGGGCTCCTGGCCCCATAGGCCCTAATTCAGCTCATTTTTCAAGGCCAGCTGTCCCCATGGGGGTAAATACTAATCCCTTTCCAAGGGGGACAGGTTCAGGGGCACTGAACCCAGCTGGCTTCTCTCAGTCTTCTGGCACATTGGCTTCAAACCCAACTACCTTCCAGAGGTCTTCTGGCCTCCAGGGCTCAAATCCAGCAATTTTCCCAAGAGCCTCTGGGCCACTAGGACCCAACCCAGCTAACTACCCAAGGGCCACTGGCCTACAGGGTCCAAGTCCAGCTACTTTCCCAAGGTCTGCTGGTCCATTAGGCCCTGGTCAGGTTACTTTTCCCAGGTCAGCTCCTGGGCCTCTGGGCTCTTCTCCAGCAGGCCCTGTGGGTATCAACCCAGCTCCTTTTGCAAGGCCAACTGGGACCCTGGGTCTAAACCCAGCTTCCTTTCCAAGGATGAATGGTCCTGTAGCCAAGACTTTGGTCCCATTTCCCAGAGTAGGTAGTCTCCCTGGCACAAACCCGGCTGCTTTCCCCAGACCAGGGGGTCCAATGACTGCAATGTACCCAAATGGAATGTTACCCCCTTAAACAGCATTTTCTCCAGGACCACCTTGGTTTCCAGGCATAGTGGTTCTGGACAGAGGCTGTGTTTTAGGTAAAAGGGTGGTAGACATGGAGCTACAGTCTGAAGTACATAGCTGGGGCTCAAGTTCAAACGAGCCATCTTTTTCGTACTCTGCTTCTTTCTTGATTGAAGGTGAAATGTTATTTGTGGGAGACACACTATGGCAGGTGGGAATGATCCTAGCCTTGAGAGAGAGACTCTCCAGCCTTCCAGAAGCCTGCTGTGCTTTTGTCCCACAGCTTTCTGCCCCTTGTTTCTTACTAGTTTCTTGAATTGTTCTTGTGGACTTTTCCTCAGGGATACATTGGCCTGCAGGTCCCAATTCATATGTAGTCCCCTGCTCATCACTGGAGAATCAGATCAGCTCACTGCTCTCTAGAAGTGTTGCATTGGTAAATGGACCGTGCTTCAGCAGCTCTGACCTGGGCAGCTTGGACCTGGTCATCCTCTACTGCCATACGTTTCCCTGGGGGCTTGACACAGAACAGGGAGGTGGGCAACCACTTTAAAAGACCCACCGAATACAATTTCCGCTTGACTGACTGGTCCTGCAGTTTCCTTCTCTGGGACTAGAGGAGGCCAAAAACAAGGCTCCAGCGTTCATCCAACTCCCTGTCCACTGGTACTCGGAATCAAAGAACCTCAAAATTTAAATTGATGTGGATGGGACATGGGGTAGGGGGGTGGGGGGTGAAGGGGAGAAATCACTGTGCTTTGTTCAACCTGATGTGAAAGGATGGTTGGTGTTTTTCCTGCGTTGTATCTTTTCTTACTGTTTCTTTAATAAATGGGATGAGAGGGCTGCTGATGTCATTCCGTTCTGTTACCTATTCCACAGGGAAGGAAGTTTACCCACTGCTTTTCATGGTTTCAGTTTGGCCACAATCCTGTATTATCTGCCAGATAAAATGCTTTCACTCAAGGAAGAAGTAAGCTTGATTTTTAGCCTTAGCTCACTCATCTGCCAATAATTTCACCAAAGATCCTCCCCACCTTCTACGATAAAAGTCAAGCCACCATAGGCGTACAGTATCATCAGTGTAGGCTTACTGTATTCCCCAGGTCCAAAGGCAACTGTGACAGTTTATCCTGCTTGAGTGACACTCAAATTACTGCAACTATATTTCTAGCTCAAGTGCTGCTTTTGCAACTGTAATAAAGAGCTGGCTTTCATTAAGTACAAAGAGGGAGGAAGTAGCTCAGAGATAACAGCATTATGTGAGAATCTTTATTTTGACAAATATGTGCAGTATAAAAATTTGACCTGAAAAGTTAAAAAAAAGGTAAAAATAAATATGTTTACAAATTACTGTAGAAATAATACAAAAAAGACAGTTAAAATTCTCAATGAGGAAAAACCAAAATGTGTCCAATTGTATAAAGGCTCTTCCCTTGCAAGAAATGGGGATAAAGCTGAAGACCCAGTTTGGTTTCACTGCTGAGAAATGTACAAAATAACTTAGAAAAACCAGTCGAGGTCAAACGTTGTGAGCCCACTACTTGTCTATTTTGATATGAGGAAAGTTGATAACAGTGCAAGGCAGAGCTGATAGTAGGACAGCCAAGGGTTTTCCATCTGGGAGTCCATCCTATATTAACCTTCAAATAAAAACTGAAGAAAAACAAGCCCTTAGTGAAGTCCGAGCTCTGCAGTTGGCTGACCGGATTTCCTCCATTGTAGTGCTCAAAATAGTTTACTTCTTGGCCAGCAAAAGCACGGAAGAGCCTGGAACCAACTGCCTTTAGTAAATGCCTGCTGCCTCTTCTAGCCTTCATGGATTGGGCCCAACATCACCCAGCAGTCTTATCAGAAACTTGAGGTCTGGGATGCAGCAGTGTTGGCTGCACTTGGAAAACCCTTGAGTTCATGGGAGATGAAGGAAAGCACCAGGGTTTGCCAATCTGTGGCTCAGAGCACACTGTGTTCCTTTGTAGGAAGCACCTGGGCACACTAGAGGCTTGTACCCTCAACTTCTCTCAGCCTTAGTTCTGGTTCTGAGGCATTAGCTGAACCCTCTGAGAATGGACGTTTGGAGAAAGCATGCACAAGCAAGCAACCCATAAGTCAGAGGCTTTGTCAAGATCCCAGGTTTCAAACCCAAGAGTGGAGAATAGTCTGTGGGTTGCCAATGCCTAGAAAAATGGCCTGCCTTCATTCCACCACCACCACCACCACCACCCCCACACACAAAAAAAGCAGAAGGAAATAAAACAGCCTCAAGAGGTCTGAGAAAGCAAGAACCTTAGGATTTAGGAATCAATTCCATTTCCTAGTTTGGTTTCTGGAAAGAAGCAAATGTAGCAGTGACTATCCACAGCTTGGCTATAAGAATTCCCTGGAGAAGCCACTGAGGAGAATTGAGTCTCAAAGATGACCAGCTTGGATTTGAGAGTTCACTTAGGGAACATTGAAAAGCTTTCCACTGGAGATGATTGTCCAAAAATTGTAACCTGTAAGTCATGCATGCTACCCAGCTGCCAAGGAATCTGTCCCAAGCAGTTCCAAGATGGTAGCCAATCTGGGCAGAGGCTCATAGTACAGGTTTGCCCTCATGTGCTGAGGGCAGGCTTGCCTATTACAGAGGAGCCTGTGAGAGTCGACTTCACTTGCCCCCTTAGAAACTTACCCGATGAGGGCAAAGAGGTGACTACATCACCTTGAAAGCAAAGTGAGGAGGCTGTCTTAGGACTCAGCTGAATTTGAGAGGAATTCAGGAGTATACAGGTTGAAGTACCGAACCCTCACTTCCTTAGTATGTTGGGGTTTAAATATACCTGGTAGATGACCAAAACATTTTATCTTCCCAGCAGAGATCACAGACAAGCTCATCTAGACATCTGGGCAGTTTCCAGGTGGAATACATATAGGCCTCCATATAGCATGGCCTTGAGCACCACCAGCAATCTTTGTTCCTCCTGGCAAACTCCTTTTTAACATTCACATCTATGTACACTTAAAAGCAGTTCAATGCTAACTCCCTGCTATTTTGGCTCATCCTTGGGATGTGGAGATGTGGAATGGGGTACATCACATAATAAAGCACCATTCCTGTACCCTGTTTTCTGATGCCCAGAAATCAAGCTTCTGGGCCTTGTATCTCAGGCACGATCTTATTGCATTGATTACTAGGTTGAGGGGGGAAGACATTACTAGCTGACCCAAATCTCAAATTCTACCCCGTCTGGTTGTGTTCAACTGGGCTAAGAACCCCTTCCCACAAGCTGGAATTGCTCACTTACCTATCAGAAGTTGCCACTTACTGTTTGATTTAGCACACTTCTGAGTTCCCTCTGGATCCTGGGGCAGGAGTGGAACCTTTCCCAGAGGCCATCATGTAGCAGACATGCAGCCTGAAAACGTCTCTTCTACTCCCGAGCTGGAATCTGTTTTCTCTGAGCAGAACGGCCCAGGCCATACTACAGTCACCTTTCTTCGCACTTCAGATTTGTCCTTTGGACCATTAAGAAACTAAAACAGCATTCCCTTCTCCCTCCCACCCCATCTTTTCTCTTCCATTCCCCTTCCCTCCCTTACCCATTGCACTTTACCCGCTCTGCTTGAGGGTTATGTCACACCTCAGCAAAAGCTAAATTATACTGCTCTGGCTTCTTCCCACATCGCCGGGCAATGATGGCCAGATACAACATAAGGAGGGCCACCCAGTAGCAGCCATACAGGACGGCCCCAGAAACAAGGAAGGCTAGCTCCGTCTCACTGAAAAGATCCTGGCAATAAGCAGTATATGCCAGGCCTCCCAGAAGGACTGCCACCCAGATGGACACAGGGATGAGGCCAATGAAGTTCACCACGATGGTTTTTCGGCCAGAGGTGCCCCAGCCGGATTTGTTGATGGTAGCGATGGCAAAGATCTTGGCTGGCAGGAGGCTGGACATATAGAGAAGGGAGTAGAGGGACATGAAGATCATCTCTGCATTGCCCCGAAGGAAGCAGGCATAGGTAGCCTTGATAATGCCCACCAGCTGCACTGTCAGGAGGAAGAGAAGAATGTTCCAGATGCGGCCACGGTAGAAAAGCTGTATGACTGTGGCAATGAGGAAAAAGGGGAAGAAACCCGTGACCACTGATTCGTAGGTCATCCAGAGGTGGTGCTTATGGAACCACAGAGAGTTGTAGAGCCACTCCCGGAAGTAAGACTTGCTCCAGCGGGTTTGCTGGTTGAGCCACCGGAGGTACTTGGTGGGGGTTTCTGTGAGGCACTTGGAGCGCGCTGTATATTTAGTCCTGTAGCCAAGGCTCAGGACGCGGTTGGTGAGGTGTCGGTCATCCCCAAAGCTGCACTTGCTGCCGAGGAACTTCTGATGGTACCAATCTTCCAGGAATTGCTGGAGGAGGCTATTGCGGTACATGCCCAAAGGCCCACTAATACACTGCACGCAGCCAAAGTAGGACTGGCAGGCGCGCTCCACGTTGAAGGCCATCCAGTACCGCACACTGCTCAGGAAGGAGATCCATGAATCATACTTGTTGAGGATCTGTAAGGGAACCATGGATGCTGGGCCTCCTCACCTGAGACCGTGAGCCCCAGGAGACACACACTGGAGACCATGAGGCCTCCCTACCTTGAGTTCTGTAGCCCACTGCTCAAATTCCTGGCCATCAGTCCTAGACCAGCCATGGCTGGGAAACCCAAGGCTCAGAGCCAACCACATTCACTCTCCCCAGCACTAGCCCCAACTCTCCAATGTGTCATCAGCATGGATTGTCCCTGTAAAGTTACTCTAGCAGTCAAAGCCACCTTCAGTCTCAGGAGGCAGCCTGTGGCAGTGACAGAAGGTTTTGAGAAAGATGCAAAGCAATGCCCAGACACCTGTCCTGACCCTTCAGTTGGAAAGCTTCTTGGGAAGACCTGGTATGTTGCCAGCAGTACCCTCTGGAAGAAGATACTGCCTCTTATTCTGACCACACTGCCCAGAGCTTTTCAGAGCAGTTTACCTAAGAGCAAGGGTTTCTCAAGGGTCTAACTTTGGAGGTGCTTGCTGTGCTACCAGCCGAAAAGGAAGCACCCTGCAGGATCAATGGCCTCAGAATTCTGTGCCCCTCCCAGCAGCATAGGCTCGCCACATACCTGGTAATTTCCCTGTCTCAGGTTGAAAAGGGGTAGGAAAGGTGTTGAGTAGCAAGTGAGCCTTTTGAAACAAAGAGGAATATCTGCACCCCACCCCCCAAAATACTAGGCAGTCAAGATCCCCATTTCCCAGACATATCCAATTGGATCTGAAAGCAGAAAGAGTCCAGCCCCCCGACCCCCAGGAATCCTTGGTTACTTCTTACTTGGACATCTCCCCCGACTCCTCCTACTTGGGGGTCCTCCTCTAGGACTCGAAGCATCTCAATGGTGCAGGCTGGATCCAGTACAGTGTCAGAGTCACACACCTGTAGAGGAAATGCACCGTCAGCCCATTTTGACCTCCGTCCACTCATAGCCTGAGGGACATAGCCCCCTTTCATATGATTCACTTCCAGCACTAGCTAAGAGGTCTACACCAAATAGAAAGGGTGAGATGAGTAACAAAGGAAAAGGAGAGTTCAGATACCAGGCTTGACAACCACTAGGCTGAGAGAGAAACCCAAGAGTCTGCCAGTGCTGGACCTGGAAAGGGAGAAATGTTTAGTACTGGACAAGCCATTAGCCTCTATGAAGCTAGGCTCCTGAGAAATGGTCCTAAAATGTTTCTCTGGGTCCTTGGGAAGAAAGAAGGAACAAGTCATTGAAATCAGATGACAGGCACAGTGCCTAGACCAGGGCCGCCACACACACTTCAGAAGGCCAAGCTCTTGCCAGAGGCTACTGCCCAAAACTATGCCAAAGGATTTTTCTGGATCCTAGGTCAGTGTTCAACTGCTGAGCCACACCCGGCTGGGCAGCCATAGGATTTTTAACAACAGGGTCTTCCCTGTTTCAGCTTCTGGCCTCTTGGATGATCCACAACCCAAACGGAGGATGTATCTACCCACTTACAAACCCCCCACCAGCATGGCTGCCAAGCCTTCAGTACTCCCTTGGCACAGTATGTCTCGCGGGGATTATACTCTGAACGGGCACGGAGGCTCTGGCAGCAGCTGCCTCCAAAACCTGAATCAAATCCTGCCCACCTGCCCTCCTTTCCTAGGGAGGCTCATGGTCCGATTCTAACAGGAATCCCCATTATTAGTTGAATCTGGGCTATGAACATTTACCCTGGTGGCTGACTCCTTGTCTGTTTTCTAGAAAATTACTGAGATGATACAAAGACCCCAGATAAATATTGGGCAGGAGAATTGGTTTTCTGACCTCTGACAGAGCAGAAAACAGCATCCACAGATGAGCCCAAACCCTGTTCTGCCAAAGCCCCAAATCCTTTCACTGGAGGTGCTGAGTGAAAGCCATTAGCCTGTAGGAAGGGGGCAACCACCACATGCTCCAACCTACCCAGCTTTCTCTCTCCATGTTGGAAGACAGTGGCCAGACAAGCAGCAGAAGGCTGAGGGGGAACCAGGCAGAGCATCACACTTGCTTCCTCCTACCTCCCAACTGACACAGCCTTAGGTTCTGGTCCAGTCTGGGAAGGTCCCAAGGAGCCTCGATCAAACTCCCAGAGCCTCCTCAGCTTACAAACCAAACTTCCCAGCACTCATGGCTACTTTCTGCCGGACCGTAACCAGGAAGATCTTTCTAGCTGAGAAGTTAGAGCTCTTGTGTTTCCCTACTGCCTGGGGCATGGTTATTTCCCTGAGAGAGAAAGACACACCCTCCTCCGCAAGGCTGTTGGAAGACAGGCTGAACTCCACCAGGCCTGCCCCAGGCAATGATCCCAAAACCCTGAGGAGAAAGGCTGGCTCAGGTATGTGAGCCTAGCTGCTAAACCACCAGACACAGGAAAGATCCGGAAAGGAAGATGTGTAGCAGAGCAGGTTTAGGGGGACCCTGTGCTTCAAGGGAGTGAATGAGTAAGTCACTGTGGCTTGAGCATGTCCCAGTGCTCAAGGGATTTTGCTAAGCCTTCTGAGTCCCCAGGAAAGTTTCAAAGGCCCTTTGACCCTAGGTGAACTGCAGAATCAAGAACTGCCTCAGATCCCTCCCTACAAGGCTGAGGAGGTCCTTGGGCCTAGGAACATGGAAAAACATAAATGTGCCAACTGACTCATGCAAGGATGATACTTTCAAACAAAACCAAAACAAAAAATCTGTGCCAAGCTAATTTTAGGTGGGTACAGTATAGGAACTTTAAATAGTGGAGTACCTAACATGCTGTCAGCAAGACTGAGTACACAGGTGGGCTACCACAACAGCCACTACTCATTCAAGTGATGGGCAAAACCCTCCGGCAAGTCTGGAGAAAGGAAGAAACAGTAATGGATAGTGTGGATGTCGGACCAGAAATCTGGTGTCCTGGGTATGTTTCTACTTGGTATGAAACGCATGAAGCTCTAGTCAGTTCTCTCTAGGTTTTGTTATTTGAAAACTGGAGCTATTCAACCTTGTCAATCTAATAAAACTTTTAGGCTGGTGTCAATGACCCCTTTGACTGGAAGTTAGGCAAGGTCTCTTCAGGGTTCTGGCCCTGCCAAGACTGCTGCAGAAGCAAACTGGGATGATTCACACCTGCGTCGCTCCACCTTACAGACACGAATTAAACACTGAGAAGAGTAGAACTTTTTGGTCCATAACTAAAACAATATTTGAGTGCTTTCAAGCATGATGTCTTTTACTCTTCACCACGTTTTATTTTTAAATCCTCACCCAAGGATATTTTCTCCATTGCTTTTCAGAGAGAGTGGAAGGGGGAGAGAGAGAGAGGAACATTGATGTGAGAGAGACATATAGATTGGTTGCCTCCCACACGTGCCCTGACTGGGGCCAGGGATCAACGCTGCAATTGAGGTACGTGCCTTTGGCCAGAATTGAACCCGGGACCCTTCAGTCTGCAGGCTGACGCTCTAACCACTGAGCCAAACCAGCTATGGCTTCACCACACTTCTTTATGAAGAGGTTCATCCCCATGTTGCCAGTGGTGAGGCAGTATTGCACAGTGAATAAGAGCAGATGTGAGACAGACTGCCTGGGCTCAAATCCTGGCTCTGCACCTTACTGCTGAGTGACATTAGGCAAGTTACTTAGCCTCTCTGTGCTTCAGATTCACCTTCTATGAGTGGAGATAATAGTACTTATCCCCTGGGAGTATTATAAAGATTAAAAGAGTTAATGTGTATGAAAAGCCTACAACAGTGCCTGGTATGGAGTAAATGCTATACATCTGCTTGCTATTATTATTATTAGGACACTAGTCACAGAGTTAAGTAACAGCAGCGCCAGGATTCCATCCCAGGTCTTTTTGACCCCAGGACTGCTGTTGAGAACCATTATACCTATTGCCTTCTTAAGTGCAGAGGAGGGATGTACATGATACAGGGGATCTATACTAGACTTGAAACTTCTGGAGAAGGGTATGCCTGGCTGGCTGGACAGGTCCACACACTCATAGGGAGGCACCCTTACCTGAATGTAGTCCACTGAATCGCCAAGGGCCTTGAAGGCTGTGTACATGACCTCTCGCTTGCCTCCCCACTTCTGCATGATACATGAGAAGGTGCTGGCCCGCACCACATGCCGCACACGGTCCATGCCCTCCTGCAGGCTGGCCTCTGTCTCACCCTCACCCGCCTCATGGAAGTTGCTACGCCACACAAAGAAGCCAGCTTGCTCAGTGCCGCCTAGCACCTCATGGAAGATGTCTAGCATGTAAGCATCCTCCTGGCGATTGCCATCCACCACCATGACCACCTTGAGGTTGGGGAAGGCGATGCGCTGGGCCGAGCGCAGACACTTGCGCAAATAGTCAGGGTCCTCCTGGTATGCAGCAATGCAGAGTGCCACTGAGCGCCGTGGTGGGGAGGGCAGCTTCAGTGGCCGGCCTGCCCGCCTCATGTGCCGGTGCTCCAGGAAGGCAAACAGGCTCTGGGTGAGCAGGTGCAGGCCCAGGATGGCTCCGTATAGGCCGAAGGACAGGTAGTGCTTTTCTGTGTGGATGAACTGGTAGCCTGTCACATAAGCTGCCAGGATGCCACCAAGCACCGCCAGGGCAAACAGGCTTGTGCCCACCACACGTAGAGCTGTCGTCAGCTGCACCGGCATCTGGCAGAACAAGGGGGGAGATGTGGAGGTCAGGCAGGAGGCAGCATCTTCAGTCAGTGGGAATGGAGGCATTTTCTCTAGGCCTGGCCCAGAACAGGGCAAATGACCCACTAAAACCATTTTCGCTACTGAGCATGACTAAGACTGTTTGTAGCTTCAGAAGCCAGACTACTGGGGTTCAAGTGCCAGCCCTGGCACTCACTGTCTATGTGACCATGTTTTGTCCATTAGTTAATGCATCTGTAAAATGTGGATTGCAGCACTAACCTCATAGCCTCTTTGAGGTTTAAATAGGTTACATACATAAAGCACTTAAAGTAACACTTATAATTGTTACACAAACCAAAGCTGGAGAGAGCTACCTAGCTAGTGGATGGCAGAACTGGGATCTACCTGGCTGACCCCAAACTTAAAGGCAAGCATCAGCAGGGGTGAACCTGAGGCACTTCTGAGCACATGAGGGGCCAGGGAGAAGGGAGGGAGATGGGCAAGGAGGCAGCCAGTGGCCCAAGAGCTGCTACCTATAGGGGATTGCACTCGGGGAGGGGAATGTGTGCCAGTAAAGCACAGCCACCAAGGAGGCCCATGGAGAAAGTGGGGGGCCCTGGCCAGGTGGCTCAGTTGGTTGGAGCCTCATCCTGCACACCAAAGGTTCTGGGTTCGATTCCAGATCAGGGCATATACCTAGGTTGCAGGTTCGATCCCTGGTAGGGGCATTTATGGGGGAGGGGGAGCAGCCGATCGATGTTTCTCACATAGAAGATTTTTCTCTCTCCCTTCCTTTTTCTAGGCCATATCCTCCAGTGAGGAGAAAAAGAGAGAGAGAGAAAGAGGAAGGGAGGGAGGGAGGTAGTGAGGAGAAACAACAGGAAACGTAAAGGGGAGCCAGGGATAAAAGAAGGGAACAGCTTCCCCTTCTCCAAACAGCAAAATCAGTAAGAGAAAGTTTCCCTGTGTTCTCTTTCTCACCTTTTTCTCATTTACTTGAGAGGAAAGAAAGGGAGAGCAACTGGGAAAGGCAGACAAGGGAAAGAAGGGGAAATGAGAGCTGGGGTGTGGAAAGCTCTCCTGGAAGCCCAGTGCTCAGGGCACCAAAGGGAACTGCAGCCAAGGTGCAGCTGCCTGGGGAGAGTGGCTGCCTGGGAAGCCCCATCAGCTTGGTCCTGGCGCCCGCACAGAATCTCTGGGCTCACCCCCACCCCACCCCCCAACCTGGCCACTCCTGCAAATGCTCCCAGATTTAGTTTGCAACAATCAGGGCTCCTAGCATCTGTACTGTTGGAAACAGCTGTGTTTTAATGAAAAGAGCTTAGGACTAGAGAGACACCAGAAGACTTGTGCTTGAGACAGGGCTCTACCACCTCCTGGCTGCCTGACCTTGCCCAAGTTCTCTAAGACTTGGTATCTCCCCCCTTGCTGGTTCTAAATGGTTTCTTGCTCCATAGGTCTCAGGTAAATCATTTCCCTAAAAATGGAAGCACTTCCAACCCTGAAAGACTACCCAAGTGGGAAGGCTGATTGTGGAGGGGATAATGCCTGATCTGGAGAATCCCCTTACCACCCCACCCACCCTCTACAGACAATAAGGTCTCATTTCCAAGCTTGCTCCAACTCTAGGTCTTACTGAAACCGTCCCCCATCCCCACCCTAACATAAACACACCTTGTTGCCCTGGGAACACACAGTCGCTGCCTAAATCAGCCTGAGATTCAGGCACCAGCACCATTCCAGCAGCTTCAGCCCGGAAAGGGCTGTTGGCAGCTTCGCCTCTCCGGGAAGCGCGGCCTCCGGGCGCTCTGCCCCGCCATCCCCGGGAGCCTGCCGCTTGCTTCCTCTGCAGGACTCCCTGGTCCCCACCCCACCCCCTCCTAGCACGCTCCTGCGGCCCAGGGGCCCCCAAACCCTGGAACCAACGGCCCAGGAGCGCCCCCGTCCCCCTCTAGAGATTACACGCGGAGGGGGCGCTGCGGGCACTAGTGCCCGCTTACGATCTGGGAAAGGGCAGAGGGCTCGGAGGACAGCCCAGCAACCTGACGGTCGCTGGCGCCCCGCCTCGGTGCAGTGCTGGAGGCGGTGCCCACCAGGTTAAAGCAGCCGGGAAGGCACTCGCCACTCTTCTCACCCCCACCTGAGCCTTGCCTTCTGGCCAAAGCGGCGCCGACCACACCCACGTGCCGGTTTCCCAGGACCCATAAGGGAAAACCGAAGGAATCAGTCAGACCAGGCCCCACTCATCTCCCCGGGGCCCCAGCTACCGTGGCAAAGTGTGCCTGCAGACAAAGGCGACATCCCTGGTGTCGCCGGCGCCCTCCTTTCCCGGGCGGGACCCCCACACCCGGCCCAGGAATTGGAGGCACTACCCCGGCACCCCCTGGCACCCCCTACCCTTCCGAAGACCAAGAAGATCCTGTAGCCGGTGACCTCAGGAACAATCGGACGCTGGTGTGGGCTCAGGCTGAGGTGCCCAGATAGGGGACCGTGCCACCCGCAGCCAGCGGAGGGAAGCTGGACCGCCTCTCGCCCCTGCGCGCCCCCTTCGCTCAGAAGGGATTTACGGGAGCTGGGTCCCGGTAGGCTAATGCGCGCTCGGCTTCAAGGACACCGGGTTAGGGACGATCCCTAAGACCGACCCCGACCCCGGCCCACGGAAGGAGGAGACCTCCAACCAAGGACGCACACCACCAATCTACCCCCGAAACTTTGCGGGGCTGCCCAGTCTGCAGCCTCTCCAGCTGACAGGTGTGCCCTGCTGCGGGGCCACACGCGGCGGGATGGAAACTTGTGCGCGGGGCGGGGGCTCTTTCCTCCTGGCCTCTCCCAGCCGGCGAGAGAAGGGGAGCCCAGGCCAGCAGATACCTGCGACCGCGGCCCAGTTAACCCGCAGGAACCTGGGCGCCACGCGTCTTGGTGCCAGGACAGGTGCGAACCCGCGGGAGGGCATGGAGGAGGGAGAGACTCCGGCCAGCCTCGTGCCCCGCACTGTCGTCCGCCACCTAATCCATTCACAAAACCAGAGCCGCAAGGGAGGAAGGGAGGAGAGACCGGAGGAGGAGAGGATGAAGAAAGGGAGGAGGGGTCAGTGGGGAGGGGGCTGCAAGACCCGTCGCCAGGAAGCCCGGAGATGCCGCAGCCCTCAGCCCGCCTCCCGGCGCTGGACGCGGCGCCCGCACATCCGGGGGAGCCAGTCGGAGTCCGCCG